TCTCTCTCTCTCTCTCTCTCTCTCTCTCTCTCTGTGTGTGTTGTGTGTGTGTGTGTGTGTGTGTGTGTGTGTGTGTGTGTGTGTGTGTGTGTGGTTATGTGTGTGTGTGTGTGTGGTTATGTGTGTTTGTGTGTGTGTGTGGTTATGTGTGTGTGTGTGTGTGTGTGGTTATGTGTGGTTGTTGAACAGTATTGTTATACATTATATTTTGAATGGGAGTGATGGATTTTCGCAGCTATATTTAATCACCTTTGTTTCCTTTACAGATTCATTTACAGCTTTTTTGTCACTGTATGGGAGTGGCTCAATAGTCTGGATGACTGGTGCTATATTTTGGCCAAATTGCTCAAAATGTGGAAAAAGCATGAAACTTGGCGCAAATGTTCTTTGGTCTATGCTGATCATTTCCAAGGGCAGTGCCCAAAATTTCAAAGCGTTGCTTAGCAACCATTGCCATGGAAGTGAATTTCCTTAGTAACAAGCTATTTAGACCTTTCTTGTCCAGTTTAAATAGTTTAGAAATGCTAATAACTATGTTTTAGGGCATCAGAACTATCACTAGACTATTTTTAGGCAATTAAAACCCAAATTAACCTTAGTCACGATTGCTAGGCAGCATATTACCCTAGCAACAAGCATTTAAAGTTCGTCAGTCTATTAAGTAGGGCAAATCTATAATACTAGCTAAGAACTACACTTTTGAGCAAGATGTTCATACTTTTAATCCAGTAAGTTGAAACAGTTGTGTGATGTTTACACACATCCGATCAAAAACATTGCCAGTGCGGATACTTAATGCAGCATGTTCAAAGTTAGTAACCAGTCATTTCTATGCTTTTATCACTTTACGGCTCTTTATAAAACTTTGCAATGGTTAAGACGTTAAATTCTCCCTTGTATGTGCAATATACAGTGCATTTTGCCCTTGCACATTGTCAGCCTCTACATCTGCACCTACATGCACACTGGAGCAACTCTGGGCAGGTCAATAGCTTCTGGCAAATGTGTCCACAAGGGTCCACTGTTCCGCACAAGTCCAACCAGAGTGAGGTATCTGATGACATAGCACCGTAGTGCTGATTCAGATATGTTCATCTCGCAAGAATACTCTTATGTTGTTGTAGAGCAGCCTTGGTGTAGGTAAGACATGGCATCTAACAGCTCTTGGGTGTGAACAGAAACTTTTCAACTTCATTAACAAAAACAATTAAAATAGAACCATGCAGGTGGATTTAAGTTACTCTGTAGAGAATATAAACTGACAAAATACAATATGAAAAAACTTAGAACTTTAGAAAAATTTTGAACAAAATGAAAAATATCTTGGAAATCTGGTCTCTGAGAAACCTTTCAATAATAGGAAAGTCATAAGTGGTTAAACCTTTAGTATTTCTCATCTTACGTAATGCATGTATAAACTCTCCTACCAGCCCCCCCCCCCCCCCCCCCCCCCACTTCTTATCCCTTTTGGCAAAGATTATTGGTTCTTTGAGTGAAATTCAGGAAAATTTCAATTTTACCCCAGATGAAATCCTATCACAAACATTATGTCAAAACTAAAAAAATTGAAAGAAACTGAAAAACTATTTTCCATAAAAGATGGTGTAAAAATGTTTTTTTTAAACATCAATGATATTATAAATGACATTTGAAATCCCCGCTGTCTAGAGGAACAAAAAATCAACCTTAACACTAACTTTCTGGGCTAATTCAGCATCCAAAAGAGCTTGCCATCTGAATGGCTATCTCTCCCCATGGAAGGAAATTACTCATACCATTCCAAGACTCAATTAAACAAGTTACCCAACCATCCAGATATTTTTTTCGCAAAAAATCCCCCAAAGCCATATAATATCACCAGATAAAGGTGTGGGTGAATGGCAGACATATTTAAAAAAAACCTTCAGTACTGATAATTGGGAACAAACATTTAAGAAACAGATCACAAGAAAATGAAGTTGCTCAAATTCAGAATAAATCATAGAATATTCAATACTTATGCTCATCTTATGAATTTGAGAATTTTGCAATACTGCTAGAGAAAATATTCTGTACGGCTTTTGGGCTTGTCCGCCTGTAAAAAATGTTTGGATGTGCATCATTTGCCCCACTAAAGATAATTTAGGTGTGGTCATTGATAGATCTCCAGAGATATTTGTATTTGGGTTTGTGCAAGCATACACTATTTATGTACCTATCTTAATAATGAAGAAACATGTTAGTATATGTAGAATGGGAACAGAAAGAGGGGAAAGAACTGGAGAGTATGTCAGATACAGAGATATCTGTATATATATTATTAAATGTATATACTTAAATATATAATGTTAAATACTTGTTGCTAGGGTAATATGCTGCCTAGCAACTGTTGCAATGGTTTACTTGGGTATTTAATGTCTTAAAACAGTATAGTGATAGTTCTGATGGCTTGAAACATTATTAAAAGCCTTTTCAAATCATTTAAACTGAACAAGAAAGGTCCAATTAGCTTTTTACTAAGGTAAATCACTTCCTTAGCAACGGTTGCTAAGCAACGCTTTGAAATTTTGGGCACTACCCTTGAAAATGATCAGCATAGTCCAAAGAACATTTGTGCCAAGTTTCATGCTTTTTCCACCTTTTGAGCAATTTTTGCACCAGTCATCTAGACTACAAAGAAGATTCTCAATGTGCCTAATCCTCGCTCAAGGGTCGCCTGCGTCGTCTAATCGCACAGGGGATGCAGGCAAATTGCTCGATGGACGCACAGGTCGCTCGTATTTATACAGGAAAATTCTAACCTTGGTCGTTCAAAGGATGCACCAGGGTCACAGGAGCATTTACACAGAGACACGACTGCCTGTACATATCTTTATATTGTCGTAGAAGGGACGCACAAATGCCTCAACTCAGTGTAAAGTGGGCTTAACACATATACTGTGGTATTTAGCCTTAGCAGCCGGAAAATCCTCGTTCTGTGATGTAATGTGATAGCAAGAAATGCACAATGACCATCTAATAACTTCCATATGAGAACTCGACGTACAGATGACGGTAGATGCAGCAGTCTGATCAACGGCGGGTTAGGCAGCGGCATATATGAGGGTTTTATCACTCCTGTTAGATTTCTAGCAACTGCTTTGTAACAATACACATACGCTGGTTTAACACCCCTTCCCTGTAATATAAGGTTAAGGTGCGCTGGCTTCTAACAAACTCGCACATCGTCTGACTTTTTTCAATAGCTTCCTTTTTTTTTTGTATGCCAAAAATAAAATATTTATCATGAATAAAACAGTGAATATACATGGGTTGTGGAGTAGAAATCAAAATGAAATGATATTTGCCAGTATTTATGTGTATAGGGCATTGCCCACACATGTGAACCGCCAGCTTCTCCAGCAGAGCATTCATGCATAAAGTAGACGTACTATTTTTCAGAACGCGCTTTTATTTCAGGCTATTACAGGTAGCTATACTTTATGGGCAATGCATATTGACATCAATAATATTTTAATTAGCTTTGGAAGACAATTTATAAATGATAGATAGATTTATAACTGATATCAAATAAGCCAAAAGATACGCGTCGCACATGATAAAGAATATACGATGCTTTTTTTTACGTTTTTACATTTTTACAAATATTCTATTTATCATTTAGCTTGCGCCTTGACGACTACATGTGTGAAACAAAAATAATGATTTAAATTGATATGTATTTGCAGAAATATGAAATGCAGTATTATGTGTGACATCATATGACAAGGCAAATAAAAGTTTAACATACATGTATGTGGGAATATGACCGACCAAATACTCCATATCAGATTATGATTATGAATCGAAATCATTCCTTGTTTCGTAACCTTCAAAATTAAATGTTTATTTAAAAGTTAGTTTGATCTACATTTTTGGGGCCTATGTCGTCTTTAAATAAATGTGATTATCGATTAAATAATGAAAACTTAGCTGAAATGTATTTCCGCACCTTTCGCCGACTTTAGCGCCCTCGTTCAAAATTACAGTCCACTCGGTTTATTGGACAATATCAAAAGTAAATACAGGTTGTTGAAGAAAATTACCTTATAAGCCTATTTTTAGAATCATCCACCAGGCTACAGTGAGGGCGAAGAAGAATTTTATAGAGTGGGTTCATTGTTCCGTGTGACTGCTATATTCAGAACCCTTCAGGTAGCTACATCACATGCCACTGAAAGTAGCAACAGACGTACTCTCTGACCACAGGGTGCGCTAGTAGTCTGTTACAAAATTATTGTATCGCTGATACTTTAATTTTGTATGCTATTTAATCAGAAGGTACGACAAACGTGCATGTAGGTCACTCCTTTGTGCAAAGGATAGCGGGATACAATCTTTGCCTTTCCGGGAAGGAGTTTGGTAGTAAGATACCGGTACATGTGCCAGTGGCTTGAAAGGGCAACTTGGATAGGTTTAGCGATCAATTGAGTGATAGGTGAGCCAATAGTTATTATTTACATGTGATGTACACTGAAATGGGTATTTATAGTTATAGGTATATAGGGGTGGAATGGTGTTGGGGGCTCCTACGGGGCCCGGGACACTCTTAGGTCGCGTTCACAACATTGGACTAACAAATCTACTTGTTGCGTAATTCCCCAGGGAATCTATTCAGTGTCTATTAGGGGATTGCGCGGCAAGCTTTTAAGTGGGTCGGCCATATTTATATTACCTGTTTGTCCGCGGATCAAATTGTTCTGAATGCGGCCTTAAAGAGACAGTGTTAATATGTTCATATATTGACACATGTATTTTGATATAGTTTTATACTTAAGAAATGTGTATTTTGTCAACTGACATTTCGATAGACACGTAAATGCATTTACTCATACTTTGTTTACATTCAGTATAATTGTCTTGAAACATCGATTTGTTTTCGTATTTAAAGGTTCTCTTTCACCTCTCAGTTCACTTTTTTAACAAGGTTGACATCATTGCTTACTTTGCTCAAACGGAAGGGTCCAAGAACACTGCTACAACATGAACTTCGACGACTTGCTGAAAATACTGGGAGAACTTGGAACATATCAAAGGCAGAGATATGCCTTACTATGCATAGTTGCAGTTTACTCTGTTACATCCACAGTTGGTATTGTGTTTTACGGCATAGAGCCTAACCATCACTGCAAGATACCGTCAGCATACGTCGATGTTGTCACCAGTAAATATGGGAATGTTTCGCAGGAGGAACTGCTGAATCTAACCATACCATACACAGACAAAGGTGAAAGGAGTTCTTGCAAGCTGTATACATTCGATGAACGGTACATGTATACAGCAACGTGGTTTCTTGCAAATGATTCATTTTACTATGGCACAGCCTTGAAAAATAACACCAACACGTCTTGGACGGCCATCAACTACAAAGGGAGTAATAACCAGGCTGGTCCACCAAGTTCAGCACCGTGTCCAGAAGGAAGGGTGTACAGCTCTGGCCAGTATGAGTCGACCATCGTGTCAGAGGTAAATTTTAAATAGGGCTGAATGGACTGTTTTTCATTTTTAAGAAGTACAATTTTCCTGTTTGATACTGTATGATGAGCATACCGCTTCAATGTTATATCGATATTCTAGGCCCTATTTAATATAATTTTTAAAGTGAAGTTATCTTTTTCGTGTTAAAAGAATACATGTCCATTGTCAAATCTTTATCATCGTAAAAGAAGTAAAAAAAAATTTGATTCTTGTTTCAGTTTGATCTTGGTTGTGAGAATGCATGGCAAATCAGTACTTGCAATTCAGTTTTCTTTTCTGGGAAATTACTATCTCTCTTTCTCACCGGCTGGCTGTCTGACAGGTAGGCATACAAAGTCCAAAATTGTGGTCTATGTTCTTCGTTTCATACACCCACGCTTCCAATAATCAGTCATTACAGTTTTACCTGACATATTTTCCTCGTCCATATTACATATTTACCGAGCTTCACTCGCTTAATAGTTTTCCTTATCACTCCCTCATAAGAAGACTTGATCCACCAGTGTAAAGTGCTCGTAACCGCTTATGATTCTAATCATAAATGCAAGGAAGAGAAAATATAAGTTTGCTTGGTTTTCTTTTCAGTAAGTTTGTATCTAGATCTGTAGAAAGCCAGACAAAATTGATAAGTGGGTAAAAGAGGGCTACCTTTATTGTGAGGAAATCGATTTTTAGTGGAAAGATACATTGGGTATATGTTTGGAAATTGAGGAATACTCGCAATTGACCCCAGGCAAAATATTTACGCTGTTTTTCTTTTGTTTTTTATGCTCAAAAGTCGCACTCATTGTGGATTTAACATTCCCAAACCCCCACATGAAATTCTCGACCGGCCCTTAAATATAGCTGCTACTCCCGCCATACATCATATGTTTAAAAACAAAAACAAATTCCATTACCACCCTGTTTAGAGAGAGTCGCCAACTTATCAATTTGATCCATCCCAAAGATAAAAAATTATTTAGTCTATCAATCGTGGTTTTAACGTTTGACATGATTTATTGTATAACAATTTTGAAAAATAACGCAGGTATTAGGTAAACTTCCGTCTCGCTTATTGAATTTTAAATGTAAACAAAGCCAAACCCCATGTCATCGATTGTTAAAATAATACTCGTAAAAATTACAAGTTTCCAATTTAACTATAAATGCAGGTACGGTATATACACTGTAGGCAGCGTAATTGTTTCTCCCTTTTGGTGCACCAGTTAATGTTTATTTTTATTTTTTTCAATTTTTTTAGATTTGGCCGTCGTCCCGTCTTCCTAGCCAGCATTTGTATTCAGGTGTTATCTGGAATAGCTCTGGCTTTTGCTCCTAACATGCTTGTTTTCAGCTTTCTGTACGTAATCCAAGGCGCCGCTGATTCAAGCGCCTACCTCGCCATGTACACGTTGGGTAAGTATCGAGCGCAAGCGTTTGCACGTGAGATTTCTCTTATTTTTTAACTTTGTTTCAATATACTTCAAGGCATTTGATCAAAATTGTGATGTTTTTTTATTTTTTGGTGGTTTTTTAGACCAAGTAAAAGTGGTCATTCAACAATAGGGAAAAGCACAAATGACAAATCAAGTACTGTTTATGTATATCTTGTTAAAACGTTAAGAAAAGTTTGTTAATATTAAAATATTTAACAAGAACTTTCACTCTAATATGAAACGTGATCCAATGCCAAAGATATTACTGGCACCACATTGAACGTCGTCCTGTACAGAAATGGACAGTGTTGTACAAAGCCAAGTTTCGATAATTCTCTACAGTGTAATTATAAGAAGTGGTGTAACAATTTGATATAGGTAATGCACCTGTTATATACATTCGGTGACCCGATGTCCAGACTCACTCCTCTTCACGAGGACTTATGTTGGTTACTGGTGGATCACCTAAAGGGTCAGTGATCATTTAATCGGTTGGAGAGATTTGACGAAGGCCAATCTAATGCCCTGGATAGTGACGTCATTCTTTCACCTTTTCATGGGTGCTTTATTGGTTCACCGACTGCAGTAATCTCTCCCCTGGTCGTTGAAGACTACATCCTATATTCCCCATGCAGACGGGGTCTCCTGACACACGACTGCGGACATACACTGTAGAGGGCAGTCATAACTGCCACCATATGTATAAGCTGATATATAAGTTATATAAGTTAGCTCTTTTGTTTTTACTCATCCGATCTCTCAGTTACAGTTTCACCCCATTTCCATAGATTTTTAGATCGATCTATCCCAGTGGGGAGTCTCACTAGATTACTGTCAGCTTGGCCGGCTTAAGCGTCTGTCCAGCCTACTAAAAGCTGTAAGGGGGTAATTAACTATGGTGCCTGCTCAGCTGACTGCAATTTAGCGTGAACCCCCAGGGAGTTAGGTCGATCTAAATCTTAAAGTCAACACCAAAGCGATAGAAGCAGTAGAAGAGTATATATACCTTGGGCAACGGTTCAGCCTTAGTGATCGAACACTGGAGAAAGAAATCCAACGAAGGATAAAAGCAGGATGGGCAGCATATGGGAAGCACAATAACATCTTCAAGAGCAACCTTCCTACCTGCCTGAAAAAGAAAGTGTTCAATGCTTGTGTGCTGCCGGCAATCACCTATGGTTCAGAGACCTGGGCACTGAATGCTTCCATGGAACACAAGCTACAAGTAGCTCAGAGAAAGATGGAAAGAATTATGTTGAACATCAGTCCAAGAGAGCGGAAAACGAATGTATGGTTACGTGAACANAACAATCAAACACAGAACGTTATTATAACGTTACCGTAACGTTTATATAAACAAAGAACGTTATAGTGACGTTATGGTAACGTTATAAAACGTTCTGTGTTTGCTGGGAAATGGCGCACACACATGAAATATGGTGTTTCGATATTCAATATTGAGCAGATTGATATATCGACCGTACCTACTCTAAATCTATCATTAGAATAATACTGTATACTTTGAGGACTCTCTTATACTGGGTACTTTCAACGGTTTCTTAAGGTTTTCCAATCTTTTAAAAAAGAATTGAATATTTAAGTTACCATATTTATACCTTTTAAAATTTTTGTAATAATCGCAATTTGTTTTATACAGAGAGCGGTTTGGTTAATGGCATTTCAAAAGACCGTGTGGTACTTTCTATGTACTTTTCAAAGCCTATGATTTCATGTGTATAATTCAAAATGTCGACATAGCTAGGTGAGATTTTTTTTTTGTTTTCCTCCAAAGGATGGTGAATATGATGTGCTATTATGGTTTAACTCTGAATGCCAAGGGTCTAGGAGGTAGTCTATATCTCAGTTTTGCCCTACTTGGAGCAGCAGATATCCCAGGGCTATTGGCAGCCGCCTTCTGCATAGACAAATTGGGACGACGGAAGACGATCTTTGGGACAATCTGTCTGGGTGGCAGTCTTTGTATTGCCTCTGGACTGATTCCAACAAGTAATTATGGACAGACGTGCGACTAAGTGATATGCCTAAATAAACCAACTGAATGGAAAGGTTAAATAATAGTGTAAATTTGGGAAACGCGTTGTTTCACGATATGTTTCAGTTTGTTTTGGTATGAAATCAAAGTAATATTTCACTTTAAAAACTCAGCAAACTGTACTGCTGATGAGATTTGTTGCTGTGAGCTATATTATGGTGTTAAATCTCCACATCTGCAGGATGGAATAGTTAGATTGACGGAAGGAATAATATGCCGATCCTGGTTTCTTTTCAGGCATGTTCTATCTCACCATTGCATGTGCCGCACTCGGAAAAATGCTGATCACTCTGTCGAAGGCGGTTCTCGGAATGTTTTTAGTAGAGAGTTACCCAACTGTTATCAGGTACTTATTATATTACCTCAGTATTCTTAAGAATAGTTTAAATAAAAAGGGCAACTATAAAAGTGAAGAATTTATTAACTAAGGCTCCCTTTTTAAATGCAAAAATGGTATTGAAATAAACATATGATTATGGCACACGCAGATTTTAGTTCTTTGTAAGTTCTGTGGTTGATAAGGTTGAATCATTGTCGTCCATTGGTATAAATTATGCTAGCCTTCATACGTAATTATTCTGTTCATTAACGCCTGACATGTAACGGGTTATTATTTACAATTTAAAATGCATCTATTTTGTTACTTTGTCTTTGCCTGCAAAGTGGCAACTGTTTTTGTGTATATCAAATCACGTATTTTTCTATACAAATGAAATAAATATATTCACATATACATATGTGACCTGTTTTTATCTTTTCTTTTTTCATAGGCACATGGGTTTGAGTTTTTGTTCGTCGGTCGCCAGGCTTGGCGCCGTAATCACCCCTCAGATTCTATTCCTAGGCCGTGTGTACAGACCTCTTCCTTTCATTATTTGGGGCGCAGTGGCCATCTGCACAGGGTTCCTGATTCTCCTGGTTCCTGAGACCCTGAACAAACCACTTCTGCAGACCGTGGAAGAATGGGACGTCGTGCTTGACAGGAAAATGTAAGAACATGCACATATTTTAGAAAGAGATTAATATTTTCATAAGCAGAGGTAAACCTACGTTGTTGTTAAGTTCATTGTTTTGGTCGCACTGGACAAGCAAATGTAAGGGCAGTTTTCCACATTCTGTATGTAGAAAAGTTATTATATTTTTATTTAAAAAAACATAGTTGGTTTTCTTAAAACAACGTGTGGTCACGCGGATGTTTGGTGAAACAGATGCTAATGATGCCATTTACGTGTTTTCTTTGTTTAACATGCTTAATTATGTCGAGCAGACCCTTTCAAATTCCCCTCCTCTGTCTCTCTCTCACTCAATATATTTAACTATCCAATTATGACATGATGTTAAGAGTTGTATTTATATTTTCAGCTTGGGTTGTACTTCAAAGAAGGATGGAAATGTGGCTCGAGACACCACAACAACTGGTGAAAGTTCTTATTTGTGATTAGAACATCGATTGTGAAGATAAAAGTTTCTTTGAAAGCATGTGATGCAGATATCTCACCCAATTTGCAAGAATTTATTTCAGGGATACTGCAGGCTTCATAGTTCTCGTATGGTGACTGATTTTTTGCCAATTGTGAGGATGAAGCAACCGTCTTTGAGGTATGATAGTGACAATAATGAGCACCTGTGGCATGAATTGGAATGTGCAATGCAGAGGGGAACCAACCCCTACTAATCTGGACCAACTCTGCCAACGGCCTTACAAAACCTGGGACAATATCCCGCAAAACAGAATTCCGTTGTTGAACGCATGCCCAGCCGTATACAGGAGCTAATTGCAGTCCACGGTCTCTACACACACGCTATTAGACAGGCGACCTTTAACGAGCACATTCTACTGCTAATGCTTATTTTGTGTAAATTTGGTCACATTTGGTGGTGTCTTTTCAGTTTTATGGACATTTTCTTTACCTCTGTGGAATTCACAGTGAAACGTAGAATTTGAGAGGTAAATGTAAAAAATTTGAATCATTAATTTAACATATGGGTGTCTTAATTCGCCCCTTTTTTGTATTTTCTGTGCCATTAGATATGGTATCTGGAACAAAAAGCACTGTTTATAACAATTTACACATGTCAGGTGATCATTTGTAAAAAAAACGTATGGAACTAGAGGTGACACAACCTTTTTGACTAATGGTGTATACTAAACATATATATGTGTAGTTACCTCCGCCAAGGAGGTTATGTTTTCACCCCTGTCTGTCTGTTTGTCATCAACATAACTCAAAAACTTATGGAGCAATTTTGATGAAATTTTCAGGGAAGGTGGGAAAAGGGGTTAACTAAGAAGAGATAAGCTTTTGGTGGTGATCCGGATCAATAATCAATCAATAATCAATAACAATAAAAAATCGCTGCCTTGGCGGAGGTCTGCGCTCTCGGAGTGCTTTTCTAGTTTTAAATAATTCACCATGGAGACGATGCATGGCTCTTTATTGCAGGTCATACTTTACAATCTGCATAATAATTATACAGTATGCACGGCGAATCAAACGTTAATTTTAATATTTATAACCAGCAGAATCAAGTAAAATGGCGTATAGAAAAAACTGCTGAAAGAGACCTCCTGCAGCCAAACTGTCAACAAACTAGATATTATATACTAAAGACACTATGATTTTATGATGATACCTGACATGTACATACAGTGTGATCCGTTATATACTGGTATATATATATATATACCTTTGTCAGAGCACTTTGTCACAGACTTGACATTTAATATGGAATATTTTTTTCCAAATAATTTTTCATCAGGTTTTTCCTATTTTGCAGACTGATAAATGAAAATAGGGATTAAAATCGTGTTTTATTAACTTTTAATTATCTCTTTGATGTCATTGTGACATCATATCATTAATGGAATTCGCCAGAAAAGCAAACAAAAACACATTGCCTATTCTATGTCATACAACAACCATTAAAAGGGATATTTTTGACCTCCATATTTTCTAAATTTTTGTCTGTAAAAGAGTAAAACGCTCCACAAAAGGACCCTCATGTCAGTGTCTTGTCACAGTAACGGTCGCTGTTACGCCTGACTTCTTCTGGCTGCTTCCAGCGCTCTCAAGTGGCAACGCATTTAATGGGATAGGTTTTTAAAGTTCTATCTGGAATAACATTCCAGGCATCGGTCAAAATCTGCCCAATTTGGCCCAGGTTTGTTGTAGGACATGTAGGCCATTGATTCGGAGAGTAATGGCCTACCCACATATTGTCTATGTGGTTCAAATATGGCGATTTTGATGACCAAGGTAGCTGCTCATTCCCTTGGTTCTGTAAGTAAACTGCTATTAAAAGTGCTCTGTGTGAACCGGCAATCTCACCGTGCAAACTAAAATTGTTCCTAAGTTATCCCCCATCAAATGATAGCCAAGTGGTTCCCAGATTATATCTTTATTTGATCTGGTTCAGGTTTTCGTTGATGACTACCATTGGTGTTTTGGCACCAATGTGGTTTCCACTCCAAATACTGACGCTGTTAATGACCTTAGTCACTTTAGACGCGGCACACGCTTCGTCGTTGGTCTCTTCTGGATGTCTGTAAACTCTGTTTTGACTGTTGAGCGGTACAGGTGAAATCTGACCTCGATAAAGAAAGCCACGAGATTTCAGTGTTCAACCCAGAAAGAGTCAAGATCCCCAATTCAATAGAGAAACATACAACGATATTTTGCTGTTTACAGTGGGTTCCTCGGAGGTCGTCTGGTATTCTTACCTGCTAAAACCAGTTTGGTGTTCGCTAAGGGCCTTGAAAAATGCGTTTTGGTGGTAATTTACCCCTCACTCTGAACGGACTAGGTGGTTTTTGTTTAGTTGCAACAGCATATCCCAAAGGACAGTGGGTCCTGTACCCTGGTGGTAAGATTTCAATACATTGGGTGTGGCCTCTGTGTAGGTACATCAGTCTGGGCATTACTCTGTAAAACTGTGCGGACCGTTTCGTTTATCGCAATTACCTGTCTGGCAATGCCTGTATTTTTCGCGCCATTCTGCCACAGATTAACAAATTTATAAAGCACTGCATAGCCCATTTTACACTGCGAACCCGACCACTTGCATGCAAAATTTCAAATTCTTCTATGCAGTAGTGGCCGACATATGTATCTTTTTTTTTTTTGACAGAACCATGCTTTGCCAAAGCCAGGCTTTGACCTGCCCAAAGGAGCACTACCCAATTAAATCACTGCATATTATATAATGCAGCAGCACAACAAACCTGGTAATCAGTTAATTGGTAGCGACACACCTGACTACACACTTCTCCATTCACATATCTTATGAGATCGGAGTTTTTGAAAAAAAAAACGCATTTTCACCTAGGCATACATTCGAAACTGAAATATTCCATATTAAATGTCAAGTCTGTATATATATACTTGATCCAAAAATTGAGACTGCAATCTTAACCAAGTCTTGTGTTTTTTAAAACAGTTATTTTTTGTTTCCCGCTTTGCTAAATGTATATAACTAAACCGAACACTGTGTCACTTAAGTATCCTATTGTTTCTTCATTTTTATTTTTTCAAAACAAGGAAAGTTTTTACAGCGGTATAATTATTTACCTAGAACTGACTCGGGGTTAAGTTAAAAGTAATTCTGCATGTTAATGTCAATGTCAATGGCAGATGGCGATTCAGAACTCTTGCCGATTGGTCTAGGACATTTGGCGATCGGGATCTGTCCTAGGACAGATGGGAGTCAGCATCTGTTCTAGAACAAATGCTGCTTGTAGCAATTTACAGAAAATTCAAACATAGTTCAGTTGTTTTTTTTTTTTTTTTTTTTTTTTTGCTATGATTTACTCCTCTGAATCGATGTATCAGCGATTGAAATCATAATAAACGTAACAAAATCTGAATAATTAAGTGTACGTGTGGCTACTCCAAAGGACACTTACCAGATGTCGTGCTGATAAAATTTACCTAGACAAAGGTTTTCCATCGAGCCGTGATGGAATTCATCTTATAGTGTAACATTGCCACCTCAACTACTGATGATTTTTGGTGCCCGACGCAAGGGCGGATCTTTGTTATTCCAGTTTTAGATTATTTTTCATTTTATGTGATGTCACATAACTGGAATATCAAAATAGTCACTTTCAGCAGCCATGAGCTTGTCTCTGTTAATTAATGATCTCAGAATCATATGTGTTATCATCATAAAAGTACTAGTGTTGATGCTCTACGAATTAACGTGCTTCACGCGTAGCAATTTGAATAATTGGCTTACCATCTTTTGTCTTTCAAAAGGCACTTTCAAAGATAGATAGATAGATGTAGATACATGGAATAACACTCCACACCTGTAGAATGACTTCACTCTTGATAGAGATTATGTAATAATTTCAGTTCAGTTACGAAATTGACCTACCACCTGCATCTTGTCAGTCTTGTCTGCCACATGGGTTTTATAATTTTTTATAAATGATCTGAGATACTAGTGCAAACCTGTATCTCTTTGTTTGTGATGCTGTGGAACATAAATAATGGTATGCTTGAAGGGTGGTTGGAATTGTCAACATGTCATACAGGTTGTATGACTACCCAGATGACCCGTTTTGACGTCTGATTAATTTTTTGCGGAGGACTCTAGAACATAACGCTGACAATGAATTTTTCTATTAGCAGAGAATTGTTGAGGAGCATTTCTGACGCACCTAACTACGAAGGTAAGATTACATAGCAGTCATGTTAACTATGGTCACAGATTAAGATGCACAAAATGGTAAAATGGAATAAAACCGTAGTACCATGCCAAGGGACACCTCGATGAAGTAGAGACATGGCCTCTCACTGCGTCTTCGAGAAAGGGACCTAAAATTTTACCTATATATGGGCTAGATGCGACATTACAACACGGTAATGGATTTATATCAGGGCTTTTTTGGGGGGGGGGGGTTAGATCCATGGGCAGAATAATATTTACGTTTATAAAGTCCCTTACCAAGCGGACGGTGAAGGGAAAGCAATGCGATGCGGCAAGTGAATGATGTCCTGGAATATTGCACGTACCAATGAGATCAAATTAAAATTCGAAAAACATCACCTTAAGGCAGGGCTTTGACGCTTTCTTCCAGAAAGAACAAATGTCTGACACCAATGGAACAAAAAGCACCTAAACATGGACAGAAAAGCCTTTAGGGGCTTTTATTTCTTGTACGTTTTATTGTGATATATGTTCTCCAGTTAGGCAACGCACTCCCAAACGATCATCTCATGGGTAGGAATCTAAAAGACCACATGGTTTCACAGCACGATTCTTAGGTTTCTGTTCTGCGCAGCGCATCCTGTTCATGTGATGCTTACGTGTTAACTTTGGCTTCTGAACCATCCCTCTAACCGTTTAGTCATGTTTGCCGAGTCTCCAGTTCAAACTTTGTCGGCGAAGCAAATGATGAGATCGTTATTCGGTTGGAATGGCAATGGCAATGTTAGTGCTGGTTCTTCTGGCAATGTAGGTCAGTACAGGCTTCATTGGATTTGTCAGAAGCTCCACTGCATGGCAGCTCTCATCTGTAGGATTTTGATAAAATATTATCTTCGAAACACTAAGCTGTCTAGTGACGACGGATGTCCTGAGGCCCATTTCAGGCCCATTTTTGAATGTAGCTATCTGGACCAATGTGAGTTGGTGCTGGCAAGGCTTCAACTATAGTTTGGTGGAGGTCAGATCTCATCGACCCCAACAATCAACTTTATACCAGGGCAAATGCCCTTTTTTATACCCTGAACGACAAGGCACTATAATGCTATCCTGTTCGCTATACCTTCTCTCTTTAAACTTGTACGCTTTACAAAGTCCTGTGGTTAAGCGACAATTTTTCAGTTACTGTCGATCAAAGCAACTTACTCCAAAGTGAGATCTGCATTTGAACGCCATTAATCTATTTGTATTTAAGATGCTAATTGAACAATGAATTATATTTACAAAAGAAAAATATATTTCAAATGTTCTTGCATTTTATTGCTTAAATGAAAAATTAAAAACAATAGACACGCTTGCCATGTGTCAAGCTTTTCCCATACCCTCTTGATAGCACCCCGAGTGACAGGGTATCATCAAACTGAGAGCCAAACGAACACTTGCTTCGAAATCCGCGTCAGCCATTTTGCTTCTTTATCTCTTCTTCACGAGACCACGCGAGATCACAGTGCCAAAACAGATCAAGGCGGGACAGAGCTTTGACGAAAATTTTGCAGAACACGCCTTCCGTGTGCCGGTAGTTGCTAGAGGTGGGTATTGCTGATGTGAGTTACATATGAAATCAAAATCGAGTCCTAACTCTGGAACGTAGGGTACCCTCTTATAGGGTACCCTCTTAGCTAGCAACATCTTTTTGCATACCCTTCACACCCTTAACTAAACTTTGAAGATGTCGTTGATATGTGCTCCGATTCAACCTACGTATTTGTATACGCTCATTTATTTCTTTGGGGAAGACAGAATCCAAAATATCGACATAAGTATATATTTAAAGACTTTTAAGGTACTGCAGAGAATGGCATTAATGGAGTTGATTACCAGCATGATGGAAACGTGATGCATTTATGCTAAATAACTTCCAAATCTACTGTGGTGAGGCAGAGAAAAACAGTTTGCATTCATCGCACTGAACTGAAGCAATTATGAAGTATCAAGCATGTTAAAATGGAATACTTCAACAGTACACCACAGGGGTAGCTTTAAGGTTTATCAGAAGAAAAGGAATTCTCCCGCACTGCTCCACACAGGTCGTTTTGAGGATTATATGAAAAAGATTTCCTCCTGTACTGGTCAACAGAGGTAGTTTTAAGTTACATTGTATATATATGCAGAGATGGTTCACTAATGCCTTGCGTTCGTTTTACACCCAGCTCGCGAAGCAGAATGTCTAAAAAAATACATCTGGGCTTGGTATTCTATGCCTATGTGAACTTAAATGTATAAAATGTTACTGCATTCTGATTTTTAAAATCGGCAAAAAAGAAGAATATTTGTTGTTATCAGTAGCAAGGAGATGCGTACATGTAGGCCTACTTGTGACAGTGGCATGACCAGCATTTTGTACTGAATATCATATGGCTGATATTTAGTATAAAACCTATGTGGTCAAAACTGTTTTATGCAAAGGCGATATCACTACGTCATGCTGGGTTAAGATGGCTTTCTTATTTGAGAAATTAAAAGCTAAGATACGAAACGTGTCGATAAAACGTACATGAACCGGGTGGATAAAAAGATGTCTAGAGGTGAGGGAATATACAAGAAAAAGGGAGGACCGCCTGAAGCAAAATTCGTTTTTAAATTATATTCACTTGGTATACTGTTAATGCGTTGTACGTGATCTATGTGCGGTTCGTGCAAAGTATCTTCCAATAGTTTGATAACAAGCAATTATTGTACATGTTAACCTGTAAATTCTACCTTAACCCCCTATATTTATGTTACAGTGGTGATATCGAGAACACAAAGATGAACTTCGATGACTTGCTGAAAATACTGGGAGATCTTGGAACATATCAAAGGCAGAGATATGCCTTACTGTGCATAGTTGCGGTTTACTCTGTTACATCCACAGTTGGTATTGTGTTTTACGGCATAGAGCCTAACCATCACTGCAAGATACCTTCAGCATACGTCGATGTTGTCACCAGTAAATATGGGAATGTTTCGCAGGAGGAACTGCTGAATCTAATCATACCACTCACAGACAAGGGTGAAAGGAGTTCTTGCAAACTGTATACATTCGATGAATGGTCTACCAACAGCAAAACAACGTGGTTTCTTGTAAATGAAACATTTTATTACGACACCGCCCGGGGAAATAACAAGAACGCGTCTTGGACGGCCATCAAGCACAAAGGGAACAATAACCAGGTTGGTCCACCAAGTTCATCATCGTGTCCAGAAGGGAGAGTGTACAGCTCTGACCAGTATGAGTCGACCATCGTGTCAGAGGTAAATTTTCAAACACGGTGGAATCGCACCGTTTATTACTATCCTTTGGCTCCGAACTAAGCGTTGCAGACACAAAAAGACTCTTTCGTTTGTATACAAAAGCTATGGGCGAGCAAAAATATAAATGACACACGTAAAATGTTTTTCTACCTGTGACGTAAATTTAACTGCTAGTGCCTTATAAATGGTAAATTTTATCTTGATTTGTAAATTAAGTATATTAAAAATAACAGCAACATGCACATCAGTTTCAAGAGGTGGCCAGCGAAACAGATACATCTCATCACAGATTGTCTGTATGGAACTGCCTGAAAGAAGCAAACCTACACTCTTGTTGTCCTTCTTGTGGTCAAAATCCTTGTTCATGGGGAAACGTACAAAATTTAAAGGTGTTTGGCACGATGGAAAAGATTATTTTCAGGGACAAAGCACGGATTTGTCTGCATCATGCAGTGGAATTACACAGTGTATAGAGAGCTGACACAAATGCTATTCCCATTAAAATGCATTAAAATGCCCCAATCTGTTCTAGAAGTGGCAATGTACCAAAACGATGGGCATGTAATGCTCTCCAAACACAGACTGATCCGGCACCTCAGGCTATATTATCCTGCACACGCACTTCCACGAGACATTCTGCAACATGTCTACGAATTTGACCATCGATGGGGTACAAGTAAAATCTAACCAGGTGTTTAGTTCTTTTGCCATATGCAGGCACATCTCCATTTTCCCAACTATCACTAATACATGTAGGTATATGTAAATCAGATTTTGGGGGTGAGGGGTTTCCGCTGACCCATAGATCTCAACAGCAGAATCAAGAAATTCAATTTTGTACAACCTTTGCACAGGTCCTTACGTTTTTTCCGCAAACTTTCCCATCAGCACCAGGGCCAAATTAAACCAGCCATGGCCAACTGAAGTATTGGTATGTGTGTGTATGTTTTAAAGTATGTCAGTAGAACCTTCTCTCAAGCACCTTGTACTCTGAAATTGCGGCACGACAGGGGCATATTTTGCAGGTCATTTGAATACCAAACCGATCACAGATGGTTTATCTTTCTTCTGTGCCTCTCATTAGAGGAAACAAATACATGTACCTCAGTAGTAACGGTGGGCTACAGTATATTGGTGATCAACTCAAAGACCATGCACAAAATTTTTTCTCCCATGAAGATGTGACTGGGAGTGGCAAGTTTATCACAGAAGCCCCCAAAGAACATATACAACTGGACATTACCTACAAATGTGGGACTTTTACTGTCACAGAATTTAACTCAAAGACAAAACTGCCGAAACATAAAATACTTTTCCTGTTGGTGATCCGGTGAACCCATGCTGGAGTCCACTGGACCCCAAGTCGTTTTTCTTCTCTGTTATCAAAATGTGAAATCATGAATCTGCATATTTGTATGCAAAGGAGCATTGAAATTTAGCTATGAAAACTTGATCCCAAGGCAATGATTCAAAAATGAGTCTGGTTCATTGGACTCCAGAAGAGTTAAATGAATCGGGATGCATTAGTTTCAGACATTCTACCTGGATTTTATAGAAAAAAATGCTGAGATTCTTTTTGTCTGTTTTAATGCTCAGTTTAGGTAGATTTTTCGATTGTGTATTCTATCTCATCACGTGACTAACTTCCCATATGTTGTTCATTTCAGTTTGATCTCGGTTGTGAGAACGCTTGGCAGATGAGTACTTGTAATACCGTATTCTTTACTGGCAAATTCTTATCAGTCTTCCTCACTGGATGGCTCTCTGACAGGTTCGGTTTGGCTATACCTATAGTTTGAACGGTGATGGTTTGTGATATCGCTTTCGGGACACAGTGTATTCTGGCTTGCTATGGTGTGATAGTAAGTAGATAACACGCAGTCACATACGGCCGCTATATTAAAGCTGTGATTATCTACTTGATTTTATTTACTTAGGTGTGATTCAGACTGCAGATTAAGAGGTGTCATAATAGAAAATAAGAAAAAATTATTTAAAGGGGTTTAAATGGTTCGTGCATACACTTATCTTACACATGGCTCTCATAAAAGGTTAAGACATAAGGTTATGTATTAGAAAATGGCATCTTCTGTGGTATTTCCAATTTGATCATGCTCCTTCCGTAAAAAATTAGCATCCCCAGTATTTTATCAGCTAACATTTTCTTACATTTGCCATTGTTATTGCTTTCTATATTGTTTACTGACTTATTTTTTAGATTTGGCCGTCGTCCCGTCTTCCTAGCCAGCATTAGTATTCAGGTTTTATCTGGAATAGCTCTGGCTTTTGCCCCTAACATGCTTGTCTTCAGCATTCTGTTCGTAATCCAAGGCGCCTCTGATTCAAGCGCCTTCATTGCCATGTACACGTTGGGTAAGTATCGAGCGCAATGATATCTATGTCTATGTCTTTTTCGTAATATTGCCTTTTTGATTTCCCTCAGTATCTAAATATATGTTCATATCACTTCTTCGAATGCATACCTCGTATATTTAACGCATTTCAAAACCTTGAAGTAACATGTAAGCAGTTGGCCTATAAACAAGAATATGCACAAACAATGTATCCGCTAAAAATATTTTCATTTATTTTGATGGGATTTATTTATTGCAAGGCCAATGCGTAGTCTCGCGTATACATGTACAGTATATGTATTGCACCCTTACTTATTTTATCTTACTGGCGGTGAATACATTTAAATATCCACCTAAAACATCTATAAGTAAACAATGCAGCCCTGTGTCATTATCATTGCTTTTATCTTACCTGACACAATTGACAGGACGTCACAGGCCATGGTGATTGATCTTTCCTTAGTTATTACTGATCATATTATTGATCACAAGCATTCATGTATAAGGCTGTTCATGATGGACTTTGGAATAAAGAAAATCAGTAAGAATAACATCAAACTCTCTCTTGTAGGTATGGAATTAGTAGGTGTCAGTAAAAGAAGGATACCTGCGATGGGCATAGGAATATTTTTTGGTTTGGGACATATAGTAATGGCATTCGAGGCTTATTTTTTACGCAATTGGCGTCACCTAGCCTTGGCAGCATGTTCCCCTGGAGTTCTGTTTGTGTGTTTTTGGTGGTAAGTTTTATCTTACCTAATAAAAACATTTAAACAACATGGATTTTTGAGGTTAAATGAAACGAAACCTCAATTGTTCGATTTGTGTTTTGCCCTTTGGCTGTTGACACTTTTTTCATACCTAGCATTACCCTGCTTGTCTATTAGTTTATTTGGTTTGGTTTGGTGGTCATTAAAAATGTTCTCTGAGGGTTTGGATATCTATGCAAGTACTTTTCGATATGAACATAGTTTTATTCTTTTAAGTTATTATTTCATAACGCTGCAATCACAAGCTTGGATCTTTTTTCCTCTTTATAGACTCTTGGTCACCGAAAATAATTCTTGAATGGCAGGTTGCAAAATCCGTATATTTTCTTTGGTTGCATCAAAGAACTCATGTTTTCATTTTACGGCGGCCCAAAACGGTCAACGAGGAAAAATTCCTATTAAATGATTCGTTTTTGACAATTTAAGTAATTCGTACCAACAATTTATTGCCATTTGACAATGAGGACAAAATGGATGCTCTAATATGTGGCCTATTTAAAGGTGGGCGGACGCAATTGGAAATAACAGCATATTATAGTCTGAAAGGCTAACAATAAGTAAAAGACAGCTTAAACTTCCTAAACGGAACCAACAAAATGCTACAAGGTTAAGACAATCTTAACATCAGTGTAGCACAAATTGTCAAGTTTTTGGTATTCCTTTTTTTTACGAATTTTATGTTTAAATTTAAGAAGTAGTTGAGAGTTGTTGCCATGAGAACCGGCCATCGCATATGAATGTTTTCATTTTATATGGTTGTATGATTATTTTCCACTAGGTACATGTAGTATAAATCGATTATTTTTCAAAAGAAAATAAATCACTGTAATAAAAGCTATATTATTTCTCAAGCTGTTTAATTACATTCTTTATCCAAAGCGCAATACCGCATTACAGGCTCCAGTTCACTCCCAGAAAATAACCAATCACTAGGCACTATTCGTAGAAAACCTGCTGTGACAGTGATTTATCAAGAATTTCCTGATACGTCACGGAAAAAACTGAAGGTTATATAAGAATTTGAAACTCTACCGTACTTTATTTTTTAACATAAGTTTGCGGTACATTTTTCTATACGTAAACACTGTACAAACACACACTGTCAAGTAAAAAAACTGTGTTGAAGTCATCAAGAAAGAAAATGTAACCCAACGGTGCGTTTAAGTTTCCCAACATCTTTTAATAGCACTGCACTGAAAAAGATAAAGTTCTGTTTCTTACAATACAGAAGTTTGCACTGAGCACTTATTTTGACACATCAGCACAAATCAAATATGTCTGGATAACAGCATCGTGAACATCGTCCCTTGCACTTTACTCTTCCGATCCGCATTTCAGTCTGTGGAGTCTCAGTTGCGTATTTGATTGTGTTATATACCTCGGGCATGGTCTGCTATGCTGGCTAATCTGTTATTTCGAATATCATGTATAATGGCTGTCCCAAGTACCTGGTTACAGTATCCTGCAGCTTAATCTAGAATTTAAAATGCAGTGTGTTTAGTCAAAATGATAACCTGCTGAATTTGACTGATGGTCATAAATAAGAATTATCAAGCATAAGCCGAAATATGGTCGGCCAATCACCAAGCTAATGAGCATTTTTGCTCATTGCCTGATGGTATTTCCAGCATTTTATTTTTAGGTCAGTCAATACTTAATAGTAGGCGAATAATCAGCGAGTCTATGTAAAATGGGTCGGATTTTTTTACATATGATGTTTAAGGGACCAAGCAGATAAATTAAGCAATCAATACCATCAAAACTGGCTCGCTCGTTTAACAGCTAATTGATTTTGTCTGGCCTTATTAACTAAATTTTTATTTAAATCCGTTGAAACAAAAATGCATTCCCAGCTTTTAAACATAAAAAATTCTTTATTTTTATTTATTTTGTAGCACTATTTATATGGTTCGAAATAAAATGAAGCACGAGACGTGTTATTGTGTATGGTCATTGTGGAAATGTGACCTACCTCAATTATTGAAAGAAAACAAAAAACATCAGCTTTTTGTCAAAAAGTCACTGAAAACATGCCATTATCATGAAGAGGACCGAAGATCTAAATCCAATAGTGTATTCACTGTTTGCAAAGCTGTCCCCAGCTCTTTTTAATTGTGGGAACGTACTAATTAAATTGTGGGAACGAATTAACAATGTGGGAACTAACTTTTTCAACTGTGGGAAGGAATTACAATTTGTGGAAACGAATTATCATATTTGTACGAACGAATTGTATATGTTTTGATGAATTGTAAACTTGTGGGTACGAATTGTTACATTTTCTTCGATTGTCTTATTTGGCCTCCGTATCATTTCGTACCTAAAAGATATTTAATTTGTCAAAATTTAAATATTTAGGTTAATGTTTTAAACCATACCCCAGGTTTTATCCTGATTCTGTACGATGGCATTCTTAATCTGCGTGTTGGCAACATTTCGGCCAAAACTTTTTCTTTGTTTAAAAAGTCCCTCCTTTAAAAGTTCAGATGCTTCCCATACCAGGTTTTTCCCTGAATCAGTACGATGGCTGCTAGCACGAGGTAGACACGAGGAGGCAGAGGTGATCATAAAACGCATTGCCAATGTCAACAAAGTGAAGTTGGAACAAGAGGCTGTGGATCGTCTGTTCAGGGACGGCGAAGAGGATCACCGTGGGACAACATATACCCACATTGAGCTGTTCAAGACCTGGAGAAGGGCTTTTATAACTTCTGTACTGGCTTTCATTTGGTGAGAAAAATTAGAATTATTCGTACATGCACATTGTATATCAGTATATCAGAGCAAGAGAATTCGATTATTTCAATAGTAATTTACCTTCCGTATATTCTGTACCGTTCTTTGCAATATTCCTCATTTTGATACATGCACCCATGAACATAGACTCCATTTTCCACTTTGTGTTTTATTTGCACATGTGTACATGTGCATCCCAAAGTCCTTTCAGTATATTGTATAACCAGTAATATTGTTATCAAATGTTCGACTGGTTTAAAAAAGACTATTTTGTTCCCCTCTAGTTTGATTAATTTTTTTTACATACAATGGACAATAGAAGTGTCACCCCCTGAATCAGAGTAATCAAATAATAATCAAGTAATCAATAATCAAAGAAGGCAGATCTTGAGTAGTTATAATGCCTGGTCTACATTTTGTTTTTTTTCTTTTGTGTGTGAAGTTGGATGTTAATAAAATTATACCAGGAGCATATCATTCCACAGTCCTTTATCTCGACATAGCTAGGTGAGATATTTTCTTGTTTCTCCAAAGGATGGCGACTATGATGTGCTATTATGGGTTAACTCTGAATGCCAAGGGTCTGGGAGGTAGTCTATATCTCAGTTTTGCCCTACTTGGAGCAGCGGATATCCCAGGGCTATTGGCAGCCGCCTTCTTCATAGACAAATTTGGGCGACGGAAGATGATCTTTGGGACAAGCTGTCTGGGTGGCAGTCTTTGTATCGCGTCTGGACTGATTCCAACGAGTGAGTATTGTCAGAGTGTGAAATCTAAACTAAACCTACTTAAATTATAGTGTGAATTCGTGAAACGCGTTGTTTCCTGTAAAATCAAAAGTAATATTTTACATTAAAAACACAGCGAAATATAGTGCTGATGGTTTTTTTTTTTTTTTTTGTTTTGAGCTATAATGATGAATGAATAGATAGGTAGAAGGAATAATTTACCAATTCTTTTTTACATTTTACGCGACTAAAAGGTGGTTTCTTTTCAGGTACGTTCTATCTCACCATTACATTTGCCACACTTGGGAAAATGTTGATCACTCTGTCTAAGGCGGTTTTTAGCATGTTTTTAGTAGAGAGTTACCCAACTGTTATCAGGTATTTTTCATGTTATTCTTTAAAAAGTTTTAATTTTGAATTCAATTCACAACTATAAGAGTAAAAAATTCACAAACTTATTCTTCCACTTTTATATGCAAATAAAGGCATTTAAAATAAATATTAGAAGCATTGGGGCATCTACATGTATAGCTTTTAGTTCGTTGAAATAAATATATGATTAAATAGCAAATGTAGATTTTAGTTCTTTGTAAGTTCTGTAGATGTTAAGGTTGAATCTTTGTCATCCACTAGTTTAAATAATGTTTGCCTTGATAAGTAATTTTTCACTGCCATTACTGTCTTACATGTATTATTAACCAATTTAAATGCATCGATTTTGTTGCTTTGTTTATACCTGCAAAATGACAACTGCTTATATATGTACTGTTATATCAAAACATGTATTTATCAAATCACTAAGAAGAAATGAATTCAACTATATTACCTGTTTTTCCTTCTTTTTATCATAGGCACATGGGGTTGAGTTTTTGTTCGTCAGTCGCCAGACTTGGAATCGCAATCACCCCTCAGATTCTCACACTAGGTAGTGTGTACAGACCACTTCCTTTCATCGTATTCGGCTCAGTGTACATAGGCGCTGGGTTCCTGATGTTCTTAGTTCCTGAGACTCTGAACAATCCACTTCTGCAGACCGTGGAAGAATGGGACGTCGTGCTGGATAGGAACATGTAAGATTATACACTGTTTATAAGAGGAGATCCATATTGTCATTAACAGAGGAAAACAAAGGTAGTCGTGGGGGAAGGTCACTGGGCTGTGTTCGTACTTTACAGGGAAAAGAAAGGGAACTTTGTCCACACTTTGTATGTAGAGATGAGATTACAACCAAATTTATTTGGCAAGCTTAAATGTACCTGATGCCTCGCGGGTGGTAGGTGAAACAGATGCTTGTGAAGCCAATTACGTGTTTTGCTTGTTTAACAGCTAGACCAATCATACCCTTTGATATCCCCCTATTCTCTCTCCCCCCTCTCCTAATTTTTAAAGTTGGCCTATTATTACATGATGTAATGAGTTATATTTATATTTTTAGCCTGGGTTGCACGTCAAAGAAGAATGGAAATGAGGCTCATGATCAAGGCGCCACCACTACTAGTGAAGGTTCTGAATTGTGATAGATAAGAACATAGATTCAGATGACCATTGAGAAACAAAGTAATGATTGTGGTAACTGTATCATATATCTGCCTGACAGTAAATAAAACGCATGTTCTCAGCGACCTTTATGCTTGCAATTTTCAGTTGATTATCTACCCTTCCGAAAACACGTTTCTTCAAAAGCATACGATGCTTGTACACATTCATATATATATATATATATATATATATATATATATATATATATATATATATATATATATATTCGCAATGGAGACGATGGGTTCTTTTATGCAGTCCATATTTCACGATCTGATGACTATTTTTTCATACACAGCAAATGCACTGCTTATTTTAATATATATAACCTGCAGAATCATTTGAAATGGCAGACAGAAAATATTTGAAAGAGAATTACCGCATCAAAATTATCAACAAACTGGATATTAGCCAATATACTGTACTAAAGCAAATATGTTTTATGATACCTGGCATGTACTTGCAGTGTGATTCGTTATAATTTATTTAATTTGTATTTTGTCGTAGTTGCTGTTTAGAGTAACGTATGAACCCACTCATGAGTATTGACTGTGTCTCATAATTGACTGCCATCGCTGCTATGGTCAAAACTAATCAAGCTTTGCAAAAAAAAAACTCAGTGCGATTCAAGATTTTTTGTTATCCATTTATTAAAAAAACACACATGTACAAATGTACAATCCTATGTAATTTTGATCTTCAACAGTGTGAATTACTTGTGACCAATAAACATACTGACTGGAATATTTCTGACAGGTACCCTCACACCACGGGGCGATAGTAACTAACACCCTTCACCCTGTTCTATCTGTTTGAGCACCCAGGTGCCATACAGAACTGCGGCACTGTAAGAAATTTTCGTTATACACGATGTTCACTCTTTGTTTCTCAGCTAAGTAGTTGCGAGAAAACCGTAACCATGCAGTGAAATAAGTCGACCAATCAAACGCGTTTTTATTGAATTCATTGTAAAGCATATATACATGAAGCTCGTTACTACCCAAACTGCTGATGATCGGTGGTGTCCAAAGCTTCATTGAATGGTTGCCTTATTACTTCGTTAGTCCAGTACTAGATTATTTTTCTCTTATGTGATGTCACACAACTGGAATATTAGAAAATTCACTCTCCACAGCCATTAGCTAATTGTGTCAGTAAATTATCTCAGTATAATATACGTTATTATCACGGGTGGGCGTGTTAATGGTTGCACTGCAAATTCACTTTTGTTTGAAAAAGTATCGTGTCGTTCTGAATAAATGGCTTGCTATATCTATATTAAATAATATATTAACATTTATCTGTCAAAAGACACTTTCAAAATAGATAAATGGAGATAGACAGATAGATGGATAGATAGATAGAAGACAGACAGACAGACAGACAGACCGATCGGTCGATGGAAAATGACATTACACTACAGTGTAGATGCCGTGAAGTCTTTAATACAGTTTAGTATACGAAATTGATATAAAATCTGCATGTTGTCAGCTACATGAGTTTTATTTACGAGATATATGCCTGTACTTCATTATGCATGCCGGCGTCTAACATAAACGATCGTGGTGCTTCTCCATATAACATGCGATTTCAATTTACGAGGACGAATATAAGTCTTGGCGACTGCTTTTTTCTCCGAGGCAACAACGGCGTTACGTCGACACTGTTTTTATGATTAGCAGAGAACGCGTTAAAAAGCTTTTCCGCTGCACCTCACAACGAAGGTAAGATTACATTGCAGTCATGTTAACTATTGTCACAGATTAAGAAGCCGAGGCGGAAATGCTTGAGATGTGGACCGAAACTACGGTACCAAGCAAAGTGACACTTTGACAGCGTACAGGCCTTACTAAAAACGTGATATTACCTTCCCCTGCGTCCGCGTGAAAAGGGCTAAAAATTCAACCCACAGTGGGCTAGAACAACACGAGCTAGTCCGACGACCTTAAACAACTCGCTGCACATGACTACAGGTAAATCGTTAAACCTTACGTCCTCGACGTAAATCATCCTAGTGAGTGGAATTGTGAACTGCATTTGTTAGTAGTCGTTCGGTAGCAATTAAACTAGGACCGTTTTTTGCAATTACACGCAAAGTGTGAAACCTTGTGGAAAAAAGAATCTAATGTAATTGGGCAACAATTGACCCTCCAGAATAACCAAACTGTTGTGCAATAGACACCACCCAGTAAATTACAACATGTAACGATATTTGTAGAATCGGCAAACCTATAAATCGTCAAACCTATATACATTGTCAATAACAAGGATATAAACTGCACAGAGGCAGGGGAGGAGAAATATATATATATATATATATATATATATATATATATATATATCACACTAAAGACCCAGTAACCGAATGGGTTTAATCTTTGTAATGGAATGTTATAGTGGTAACCGGCCTAGATGACCTGTGCTATGACACACGAAGATCGTTTATTTGTTGCCTTGACATTGCCATTCAAGGCAGGCATATAAAGCTTCGTGACATCATAAAAAAACCACAAATAAATTCTCCTTTCGGTGGCATATTTTGCATAAACGCACTCACATGTTCAGTATTAGCTACAGACAGGTGTCGTAGACCGTGTCAAGAAAACATCCGACGGTAAAGTGAAGTCCACTGGTGGTTACTAATGTCACTATATGAGTAGCTAGCGTAGTTAAATAGGTGAAACATGAGCCGTGGCCTCCTGAATATGGCATGGAACAAATAATTATGACAGGATGAGGATTTTTGAATAACGTGCCCGAATCGGCCATAGGTGTAGCATGGTGTAGTTTTATCTATTCCAGACATGGGAAAGCTACCTGTCCGACAACCCATGGAGGGTTGAAATGATACATGCACCTTATCTGTTGTCGTATATAACGACAAGAAGCACACTAGTATGCCCCAGCTGCCGTTCTCACTCAACTATTGAGCTATCAACACGCTGCAGTTTGAACTCCCTAGACTCTTTTAGTGAGCACAGCACACTGTCCTCACAAACTCATTCACTGCGCCGCTATCTGTAAGCACCGCAGCCACAAAAGCGAAATACTTAAGTCAATAAGAGGCGTTCTTGCACATCAGTGCATTTATACTGTGCACAAGCATACGCACACCCACAAAGGCGATACACCTTTGATCAAAAAAGCCAACACCAAGATTTGCTTTCTTCTCTTGTGAAAACACTGAATTCACCACCCCCTCTCCCATCCCCCTATTACCAGGACACTTGTTGATCAAAAAGCGCTTTCTGTAACTAGTCCAACCCCCCTCCACATCAGGCCTGTACGCCCCTCGTACAACCGGCTCCTTAGGCCATACTCATACAGAGGCGAGCAGGGGCGGATCCAGGATTATTTGAAGGGGGGTCCGTTTGTAAGAAATGACAGGCCATAGGTGTAGTACCTTTCGCGAGGTGGCGGGGCCCCAAAGAATTGGCATTTTAGAGGGCTAACGGTGCCAATTGATACGGTTTAGAACTATGATCCAGCTAGTCAAAATTATAATTTTAAGAGGGTACCGGTGATGTTATTTTTTCGAAATATTGAAGGGGGGGGGGCAGTACCCCCCCCCCCCTCCCATAATTTGCCACTGGCGAGACGCCTCTTACCACACCAATTTAAGGCAAGACGCCTCACACCAAGCAAGCCACATTCAGTACATTGTGCACGGGCTCATCTAATTCAGATCAGAACTGTTAGAATGTCACTCTGTCCATTCCTCCACATACAGACATACGTAAAATAATGGCATTCAGGGGAATTACAGCATCAAATAAATATATATTAATAATAAACAAATAAATGAACTCGAGAATCCCATAAACAAACGCAAAGCTTTTAACTAGGGTTACTGTCTCCAGGGGCACAGTCTTAGATCATGTTATTTTGATCAGAGTTATTTAAACCAAGGCGTGAGTCGACACCCCCCCCCCCTTTGAAAATTCACCTCCCGTAACGTAAAGGTGCACCTCTACGTACATCTGCACGCTTCCCCAAAATATTCCGTAGCACATACTTATGTTCGGTAAGTACAAGTGCTTTTTCTACTAGTACGCACTTCACTGTACATATGCTTCCGAAAGTAAGCAAACATTTAATTATTAAATCATCTGTATAATATTCAAAGCAATATCCGTTAAAATGTGATGTCACCGCAAACTGATTTTAAAATATGGTTGATTGAAGCAACGGCGATCGGGATAAAGGATACATGTATATGTGGCGAACTGGGAGACTATAAAACGCCTACTGGCAATTGTGGCGTTGGGTATATGGACTAGTCAGTTATTTGTACTCAATGTCATACGGCTGATACTCAGTGTGTAAGGTATTAGGTCTTTACTTTGTTTACAGTTAATGCGGTGTACGTGATCTATCTGGGCGCGTGCACTCTTCGCAGAGTATCATCCAATAGTTTTGAAAAACAATAAGTATCGTTAACCTTTAAGTACTGTTCTCAATCCAGATTGACATGTCACTTTAACCCTCTCTCTTTGCCTTTCAGTGTCTTTATCGAAAACACTGTTTCAAGATGAACTTTGACGACTTGCTGAAAATTTTGGGCGAAATTGGAACATATCAAAGGCAGAGATATGCCTTACTATGCATAGTTGCAGTTTACTCTGTTACATCCACAGTTGGTATTGTGTTTTACGGCATAGAGCCTAACCATCACTGCAAGATACCGTCAGCATACGTCGATGTTGTCACCAGTAAATATGGGAATGTTTCGCAGGAGGAACTGCTGAATCTAACCATACCACTCACAGACAAGGGTGAGAGGAGTTCTTGCAAACTGTATACATTCGATGAATGGTCTACCAATAGCACAACAACGTTGTTTCTTCTTAACGAAACATTTCATTATGGCACAGTCCTGGGAAATGACACGAACACGTCTTGGACGGCCATCAACCACAAAGGGAGTGATAACCAGGCTGGTCCACCAAGTTCAGCACCGTGTCCAGAAGGAAGAGTGTACAGCTCTGGCCAGTATGAGTCGACCATCGTGTCAGAGGTAAATTTTCAAACACGGTGGAATCGCACCATATATTACTATCCTCTTAATAACCTATATTTTGTATACATTAGCTGTAAGAACAGACAAATATAAGTAGCTTTAGACAAAAAGAATCTTCACAAGTCTGTCCTATAGTGGGTAATGAATAACTTCGTCTATAGCTGCACACCAATGCATGAGGGTGCATCAGACATTCTACTAAGATTTTATAAAATGCTGAGATTCTCCCGTCTGATGTTTCTATATGCTCAATTGAGGTAGATTATTCTATTTTATGTCATTCCGCGACTTATTTCCTACATGTAGGCCTATATGTTATTCATTTCAGTTTGATCTCGGTTGTGAGAACGCTTGGCAGATGAGTACTTGTAATACCGTGTTCTTTACTGGGAAATTCTTATCAATCTTTCTCAGTGGATGGCTGTCTGACAGGTCAGGTTTGGCTAGAACTATGATGGTTTGTGATAATGCTTTAGAAGGAAAAATTATACGGGTGATAAATTATCTTATATACCTGGAAATCACTTTGATTAAATCGCTTTTGGGAGCAAAATGCATTCTGGGTTGCTGATAAATGTGAAAATAAGTAGTAAACATCGCTGGATTAAAGTTGGGGTGATCCACGTGATATTATTTTCTTAATTCTGATTACTACTGCTGACTTATAGAAAGAAGAAAACACGTTATGTTATGGAAAATGGCATCCTTATAGATATTCAATGGGGCCATTCTCCGTTTGTTAAATTATAGCATCCCTCAAAATTTTAATTTCCCTACATTTGATAATGTTATTACATTTGATATTGTAAATTGATTTATTTTCAGGTTTGGTCGTCGTCCAGTTTTCTTGACCAGCATTAGTATTCAGGTGCTATCTGGGATAGCTCTGGCTTTTGCTCCAAACATGCTTGTCTTCAGCACTCTGTACGTAATACAAGGCGCGAGTGATTCAAGCGCCTACCTCGCCATGTACACGTTAGGTACGTATCGAGCGCAAGTACACAGAACGTTGAGTCGGTGATCGTAGTCTTTTTTAACGAAATAAACTTTCAGATAATTTGCTCAGATTCATAACTGACGCATTTTAACGCATTTTAAACTTTGGGTATAAACCTCGTTGTTTTTTATCTACTGGGATTGAACATTTTGAAAATTACTAGGACAAAACGTATGTTATACTATGGCTCTTTTTTTTCCTCATATAAAGATCAGTCCCTTGTTTATACATTGATATTTATAGGAAAGCCATGCAACGCTCTGTTATTATCATTTTTTGTCTTTGTTTGACACAATCGACATGACGTCACGACGTGATATGGTGATTGGCCATTTCTAAGAAATGACTAACCATATCACAAATTTAAAGCAGTCGTGTAAATAGATTTTAGAATAAAGAAAATCAGTACGAAATCAGAATGAAATCAAGCTTTCTGTTTGCTATAGGTATGGAATTAGTAGGAGTCGGTAAAAGACGGATACCTGCGATGGGCATAGGGATATTTTTTGGTTTGGGACATATAGTAATGGCGTTCGAGGCTTATCTTGTACGCAATTGGCGTCACCTAGCCTTGGCAACCACTTCCCCTGGAGTTCTATTTGTGTGTTTTTGGTGGTAAGTCGAGTCTTACCCAATAAATACCTCTTAAACAGTACATTATTAGAATGAAATAAAGAGGAGCCAACATTGTTCCTTTCGGCTGTTGACACTTATTTTGTGCATACATGTAAGTAGCGTAATCTCGTTTTTTTTCTGGTTGGTTTGGTTTGATGGTGAAAATATTCACCCAGTTTCTCTGAAATATTAAAATCAGTTTCATTCATTTCAGTGGTAGTTTCATAATGCTGCAATTACAAGTTATTTTTATTTCTTGAAGACTCTTGGTCACCGAAAATTGGTGGTTGCAAAATGCGTATTTGCGTTTTCTTCTGTCACCAAGTACATCTATTACAGTGTCTCAAACGAATAACATTAAAACTGCAAGTTTTCATGTCGACCATATATACTAAAAGATATTTAATTTTTCAATGTCAAATTTTAATGTTTTTAATTATACCTTACGTTTTCCCTCTGAAACTACCAGTATACGATGGCTATCAAGCCATCATCACTCGGTGAGCTTGAGAAATCTTAGACTGGGTTCCCATACCTAGATCGACCTTACAGGATCGAGCCATCTCCGAGGGGTTTCTCACTAAATTGCTTTCAGCTTAAGCGGCTTAGGTGTCTGGCACGCCTACTGAAGCTGCTAAACGATAATTAATTACCCCCTAGCAGCTTCAGTGGGTGTGACAGACATCTAAGCCGCTTAAGGAGATAGATCGATCCACTGTTAGTACGATAGGGTCTGGGAATGGTCACTAAAGTGTATCTGTTACAATTCGGCCATAAAGTTTTAAATTTTCTTTATGTAAAAAGTTCTTCCTTTTAAAGGTTTAATATTTCCCAGGTTTTTCCCTGAATCAGTACGATGGCTCCTAGCACGCGGTAGACATGAGGAGGCGGAGGTGATCATAAAACGCGTTGCCAAGGTCAACAAAGCGAAGTTAGAGCAAGAGACTGTGGATCGTCTGTTCAAAGAAGGCGAGGAGGATCGCCGTGGGACAACATATACCCACATTGAGCTGTTCAGGACCTTCAAGAGGACTCTTATAACTTCGATACTGGCTTTCATCTGGTGAGAAATGTTCAAATGTTTTATACATATAGCAATATGGTTAAACGGTTTATCATAAAAATTTGGTCATTTCAATAGTAATTTACTTACCTTATTTTCTTGACCATTCTTTGACTATTTTCAATTTTACGAATGTTGTTCAGAAGGTTAAACTGACGGAATGATATCTGCACAGCATGTAAGGACGCTTTCTACATGTGTATACATGTGCTTACAGTGGCAGTATATCCCAATGTCCATGCAAAAAAAAAAAGAAAACGTTATTTTCCCTTCCAGGTTGGTTAACGCGATGTGCTATTATGGGTTAACTCTGAATGCCAAGGGTCTGGGAGGTAGTCTATATCTCAGTTTTGCCCTACTTGGAGCAGCAGATATCCCAGGGCTATTGGCAGCCGCCTTCTTCATAGACAAATTTGGGCGACGGAAGACGATCTTTGTGACAATCTGTCTGGGTGGCAGTCTTTGCATAGCTTCTGGGCTCATCCCTGAAAGTAAGTATGGATAGATATGGAACATTATGAAGAATTACAGAGACAGATAAAAATGCTTGATACATTTAGATGGCGATGGCGCTAACAGAACTATAGCTATTAGGACAGGTTTTTATTGGACAGCTGGACACGAAGTCCGAATATTTTTTGTACTGAAAAAACTATAACCACACAGCATGGAAAATGAGGTACAGAAAAACTGTAGGCCTACCCTTCCTTCTTGGAGATAATTTGTAATACAGTGTAAGGATGGCTGTCGGGAAGATTGTTCTTTAAAATGCAGCCTTGATGTGGATAATATATTTGCATTACATTAAATCAAAGGAATGGGTGAACTTTAATACAATTCATTCATTTATTATAGTGTCAAGTGTAAGGTACCATTCCCAAACCCTGTCGCACTAACTGTGGATCGATCAATCTACGAAGGGATTCTCGCTAAATTGCTATCAACTTAAGCGGCTTAGACGTCACTCACGCCTACTGAAGCTTCTAAGTGGTAGTCAATTATCGTTTAGCAGCTTCAGTTGGCGTGTCAGACATCTAAGCCGCTTAAGCTGAAAGCAATTTAGCGAAAAACCCTTCGGAGATAGCTCGATCCTGCTAGATCGATCTAGGGATTAGAACCCAGTCTTTCATTCCTTTAAAAAAATCCCCAACCCTTTTTAATGTGTGCAATTGTTCTTGTCCTATTATCATACGTAGTAGATTTGTGTATGACGACTCGTGCTTATCATTACTGCAGAATTTGGCCGAATGTATGAAAATATACACGTAGAGTGAAGTTTTCCCAATGATTGATAGACTTTAAAATACTAACACCATATATATTGTTGGTCCCGCCAGGTTTGTATTTTGTGACGATTACTCTTGCCGCACTGGGAAAGATGCTGATCACGCTGTCGCGCTCAGTTCTTTACATGTTTATAGTGGAGAGCTATCCAACAGTGATCAGGTAACTTTCTGCTTGGCACATTTTATAAAAGAAGCTTCGGAATTCAATCTAGTTAACGCTTACCAGTAAACCTGATCTCAATGCTCTTTGTACATTGTATTTCATTCCATTAAAGAGTCTCTTTAGACGTCTGTACTGTAACTGAGATATTTCCAATCCTTTCTAGATAAAGATATTGATGTCATCGCCAAAAATTATATTTAAACTTGTTAAATTTAATAATTTGAGTAATATCAAATCATTTTTTTATACATTCATGTATTTTACTACCCAAAATCCTGCTTAAAATTACAGCCTTTTTATTGTTGCTGTTTGTGTATAAAGTAATAACTTAACTTTGACCGCATTCACAATAGAAGTTGATCTGCATACTACAAGGGCATTCAAAACAGCGGATTAACAGATCCGTGGATCAAATATGGCTACCCACCAAAAAGCTTGCCGCTTAATTCCCGATTAGTCACTAAATAGATTCCCTGCAGTGATTATGCAACAAGTATTCAAGTGTGTCGGCCATATTGGATCCGCGGATCTGTAAGTCCGCTGTTCTGAATGCCCTCAAACAAATCCGTGGATCAAATATGGCCGACCCACTTGAAAGCTTACCGCCTTATCCCCGCTGGAAATCTACTCAGTTTCTGTTAGAGGATTATGTAACAAGCTTTCAAGTAAGTCCGCGGATTAACTTGTTCTAAATGCGCCATTATGTTATCACTCGTGAATTTTACAGTAATGTGCGAAAATGCATTTATTTATGCACATACGGAAATAATAAAATATTCGTACGATTCATGCAAATGGTTTGTACATAGCAGTTTTTTTTCTACATTCTAGGCACATGGGTTTGAGTTTTTGTTCTTCGGTCTCTAGACTTGGCGCCGTAATCACCCCTCAGATTCTAATCCTAGGTCGTATGTACAGACCACTTCCTTTCATTATATGGGGCGCAGTGGCCATCTGCACAGGGTTCCTGATTCTCCTGGTTCCTGAGACCCTGAACAAACCACTTTTGCAGACCATGGAAGAATGGGACGTCGTGCTCGACAGGAAAATGTAAGAACATACACATTACACAGTTAAAAGGAAGAGATTTGTATTTCCATAAAACAGAACAGCGTCGGTAGACTAGTCGTGGCTGTGGTTAGCGTGAGCGGGAAATACCCTCTACCAAGGAGACAGATTGATTTTCCACAGATATTCACATATATGTCTATAGATAAATAGACAGTCATTTTGGCTCTCAGTAAAAAATTCCCACTATAATAACTGAGGCCCTGGTAGAGGGTAAGCGGGAAACGTGAGCTAGGAAATATAGTCTTCTGTCTCTCTTCGTCATGTTAAATTTAATTGTTTTATCTTTTTTATTCATAACTTCAGGTTGGGTTGCAAGGCTAAGAAGCATAAAGAAGAGACCGGAGAGTCCATTGTTACTACGGATTGTTCAAAAGTGTGATTGAGACATCGCTTCAAAAGATACAGTATGGAATACGGTCTGACCAAGCGTTTACAAAGCCACTACCTGCACAAATTAATAATATATATATATATATATATATATATATATATATATATATATTTTTTTTTTTTTTTTTTTTTCTTTTTTTTTCAGAGACGAGTCTTCGCTAAATGTCTTAAACGTCTTGTTTCGTAATTACGTCAGATTTTATCAACAAAGAATTGATATAAGCCATTTCTTCAATAGTTTCTCATCTTTTTTAAAGAAGAATGCTTCAGGTGTCTTAGATACTTACTGTATTAGTCCTCCACCTGTAGTTATCTGCACGATCACAGAAAACTTCGGGACAGAACCTTAATTTTATTACCAAATTGGAATAAAGGGTGATAATTTACCACGTGTAAACAACACTCCTTTCTGTCCTTTCAAAGGTAGCTCAAGACTGATATCGGACTTGCATATAATTGTCTTCTTTGACATTATAAACATAACGCAAATTGGATGTGATGCAAGTTTTAAGTGTCGGGGAGGGGGTCGGAAAATCAAATGTTTATAGATTTTTTGTCGCTGTAAAATTGGTTTTTAAACGCGTGGCGGTTGCAAAATGCGGCTTTGCACCTCTGATATACAGAATTGATAATACATCGATGGCTTAAAATATCTTATTCTTCTCAATGGACAGAGCAATATGACAAGTACAATGGCGGGTACAGGATTTTGATAATTGGGAATAAGTTTTTAAACCTCATTTCACTCGACATTATTAAAATACCAGGCGAACACGCCCACTGATTTACGTATGCCAAAGGCCTGGAAAATCGTTTTTTTTTTCATTTAGCTCGTAAAGCAGTTTACTTGTATTTTGAAAGTAGACGTGAAAAAAGGTACGTCAGAAGGTGAAGGAGGAGTACGTTTTAACGTTTTAAAAATCTCAGTTATTTACTTTGGCGTACTGTGTTCAATAACTTATTTAAGTATACATTGGATTGAAAGAAATGAACAGGGCGCCCAGCCCCCCTGATCCCTGCAATTAAGGCTAGTGCGGCAGTAAAAAAGTGGGGGTGGAGGGTGGGGGCCGGGTCTATAGGTGTGACATATCATAGATAACTTTCATTTCTGACTCTTATCTCCCGGTTGTTACCTATTATTTCTACATTAATACAAAGAAATGAAAAATTTTTAACTGCATTTTACCCGCGTGGTTTTGATATTTTGAGCATTAAACGCCGTCTTCGTACATACTTTTCCCCTTCGTTCGTGTTTACATCACTACACTGATTTTCACAAACACTTTAGAGTTCAATAATTAGACTCTTGTTTCAAATGACTGGGCCAAACCACGGGAAAAGCGTTGTCATCGATCGAGGGCAGATCGTGAGCAGACCATAGACTACCAATGAACCTGTTCAAGACTAGTTTACAATCTGTTTGTAGCTTCCCCAGAGAACCACACTGAGAGAGTGTTGCAGACGGCTTGTTTGAATGGTGTCAAAAATGCTTGTGCAAGTTAAAAGGGGCGAGGTCGGAGAGGTGAAAGAGTTTTTACAACAACACTTGATATTTACACAATACAGTTGTACGAATTAATATAATGCAACCTTTCTGAGTTCAAAAGCCACTACTCAAAGATTATTCGACAGAATCGCTAGTTTCACGTCGAGAAGCTTCATACAGTCCTTGTGTTCAGATCAGTTGATTCAATATCGGGGTCATTTTCAACACAGGTTCCATCAGGTTCAAACCTTGAGCTTTTTCTTCTTCTCTTTCGTCTTCTTCTTATCATTATTATTATTATTATATTGGTAATTGGTATTGGGTACAGTCTGCACATATTAGTATTGGAGATAACTGGTTTTAAATTCCGATTTTATCTAGCTTTTGCGATCAACATATTTTCTTCTCTTTTCTTGTTTCTTACGTGTCCCTAAGAAACACGCTAATTATTCTCTAGCGTACAGTCCTTGTGTATAAAAGGATATACATGTATGACTAAACATCTTACATAAGATTTTCGTTGGAACACAAAACTCCTGAACTTTCGCCGCTTAAGAAATCAATTGTTCCAGTGCTCTATCAACTTAATTATTGTCGGTCAAATAAAACCTGATATCTATTGATATTATCTTATCTTATTAAATTTTTACAAAGCTTTTCATCCTTTCAAGCAACTACCCATGTAACCGTGCATGCTGCATGCATGTTGATAGCCCATCTGCTGCACTCCAGCACCTCTTCATTTTGGCGGAAAAAGTAAACGACGATTTTCCCATACTAAACAATGGTAAATAATCCGTTCTGACGTTCAAAGGCTCTATTCCCATAGATTTTAGATCGATCTATCCCCGCGGGGAGTCTCACTAGATTACTTTCAGATAATCCGACTTAAATGTCCGTCCCGCCTACTACCAGCTGTAAGGGGGTAATTAACTTTCGTGTCCGCCCGGCTGACAGCTATTTAGCGTGAACCCCCAGGGAGTTAGGTCGATCTAAAGTGGGTCGATCTAATCTATGGAAATGGGGTGAAAGTTAGTAGATTTTTATAGCGTGTTTTCGTAGTAATGGGCAGCCTTCTAAGAAGCCGAGCAAGTCCGAAAAAAAGGTCGGAGATAAAAAATTCACAGATTCCACGGGCTAAAGTAGAGCAGCATCCTCAGAAAAACAGACAACAGATGGGAGTGGAGAGAGCTGGCAGCAAAATCTTCAAGTGGTCCCCCACAGTCAATCAGACTACGGGACGGGATATGATAAGATAGCCATCTATGAAGGTCCACGTAGTCCGATGGCAAGCACAGATTTCAGAATAATTGAGACAACCGCCGTTTTTCGGTGGTAAAAAAGGAATTTATTATATTATAAGTTCTGCTTACAATGTATTAATTGTGGAATTATGAATCCCATATGAAGAATTGTTCTTCCTTTGACGTAATAAGTGTTTACGTTATCCTATATCTTCTTTTTTTATTTTCGTAAATGTTTTTGACTATTTGACGGAAATCAATATTATTAGGTCAAGCATCATCGCACTAGCAACAAGGTTACAACAGTACCATTGAGAAAAGGTTAAATAGTTAATGCACCAAAGCCGCAATATGATCTTTTCTTTTGCTCTTGGGACAATCTAAATCGATTAAGAGTCTCTAGAACTAATTTGTGCAGAATATAAAGGTTAAAAAGGTTTTAGACGGGGAACATATAGAAATGAAAAGAAAGGGAATAAAGTAAGCTGATCAATTGTAGTTTTTATTTCTTCGCTCACTAGCTCAGACTGCTTAGTCTCACGGTTAGCGCAGGAAACACAATGATGTTACGAACGCTGTGCCATATTTATAAGGAAAGGTTATTAACTATATTATAAAAAATGTGAACTACATAATCATACCGCTATACTTCATATAGGGACTCTGAAAAACTATAGTAACAAATAAACAACATACTAGTACATATTGTACCCTGTTTTTATTCTTATTTATTTATTTATTATTTTGTGTGTGTGTGTGTGTGTGTGTGTGTGTGTGTATGTATGTGTTGATTGTATTGAACAAATCGGCTAATAGTTTCTCGGATCGTAACATGTACGTGACTAGATCCACTCTGTATTTATTGATACAGTGTAGTTGTGCATTTAATAAGGGAAAGAGATAGAGTACCTGTGTATTTAAGTCATTCTTTAACAGACTAAGTTCAGTTCACGCCAGATGTAACTTACATCTGTAAAAGGCCTGAATTCAGCCGCCTGGCAAGCAAACTTAATCGATGGTCTAAGCTGCACTCTTAGCATCACAACTAATGTACCTCATTGTGGATGCTTGGGATGTGTGTGTGTGTGCGTGTGTGTGTGAGAGAGAGAGGGAGAGAGAGAGAGAGAGAGAGAGAGATTATGAAGAAATCCACTTTTCAAAATTATTAATCAAACAATCTATTTGTCTGGTGACCATATTTAAACTCAGAAAAGGTCAAATGAAAAATAATATAAATGAACCTTGTGCCATGGAAAGATCTAGGATCTTAGCGCGGTAAAACTGGCATGCAGACAAGACTGGCCGATGATTTTACATGTCATCTTACAACATCTAGTTTATTTATATTATTTTTTTAATGATTTGCGCCATGACAGTAAGACTGGTGCTGCATATTTGACGACCAATGCCAGTGCCACGTGGAGATTTCTTAACACTGCTACCATTCTTTAAAGGGAAATGTTTTTACAATGTGTATTATCAAAATATTTTACAGAAGGTCTGGGTCTATTAGACTGATTTGTGTGTTTACATATAGTAAAGACTGATGTCAGGACCGAATTATCATTTGCCTGATTTCACGGAAATACTTACAGTAACTTACATTATTGTGCTTATTTTCTGCTATTTATATTCTTCACAATTTCTATGCAGGTTTGTAAGCTTGCGACCATTACGGTCGATGGCCTACCTCGAACATCCTTTCTATTCAGTCGTTAATTGGTGCATGGTATGAACTTGTATCATTTGCTACTCTTTATAGAAGTTAACCAACGCAATGACTGTTTCATATGCCACAGTCGGTACAGATCGAGTTTCTGTTATGTTGGACTCCCGGTCGAACCCACCTAGACTGAAAACGAATTGATTGTTTTTCATTACGAAGTAAATGATCGATTGATCTGTCAAGTGTGAAAACACCTAGTAGGAAATGCGGCTGAGTGTTTTATTTGCACCAGGTAATCTTAATGGACTTCTTGTCACTGTGACAGTATGACAGTATTTTCGTCCCATCGATGTGTACATGAATACGCAGGCGTCCGTCTAACGTCAACGCACAGTAGCTCTGACGCGCCCAAGCTTAGGTATTGATTGTTTAAATCTAAAGATAACCGTTCTGCATTGGTAATGTGGACTATAGCGACAAGCAACGACCACACAGACTTCCTCTGCTGTTTTCTTTTACAGCCCGAAAGTGACGTTTGACGTCAAGCACATTGAACTTTTCTATGGTTTTGATGAGCTAAAAACATTGTCTACAAGATCGTCTCTCTCTCTCTCTCTCTCCCATTCCGTACAGTGGTAGGCTGGGCTATATAGAGAACGGAATAT